CTTTGCATCTATACAAGTACTGTACATGATATGAGCCAATTCTCTTTTTAACATTTTACTCTTGGATGTCTACATGCATCTTAGATTTAAGTGGAGACCTGAAAGATACAGAAATACTGGCATTTCTTATTTTTGTTATCAATAGAACAATAATTTGGCATAAAGTTACTGATTTTGCAAAGTTGCATCAGTAAGAAAAAATCAGAGTGAACTGGTTTTTAATTAGAAATTAAACTACTGGTCTTAACTAGGTTCATAAATAAAGGACTTCTTTCATTATGGTTTATTGTAAAAATGCTATTTACAGCATTTAAACTTTTTAAGAATTTTTGTAGTTAGTAAAATGAAGTGATTGATTCTTTATGTGATAATGGTAATCAAATGACTTACAACTGTCAAAGCATTATTAGAATTTTTGTATTATGTTTCTGTGCATATCTTCTCATGGAAAGAGCTAATAAACTGACTACAATTCATAAAGATTATTCTTAAAAATGAGTAAAATAACACCCATAAATCATTAATGTTTCATTAGTACAATAACTTTAAATAGTTTCCCAGGAAGGAAAAAAAAAAAAGTTCTCCGTTACACTGTTTGCTGGCCATGATTGCTTGGCTATCCATCTTAATAGAGTTTGTCTTAATAAAGCAATAACAACACCCTTTACTAAACATTTAGAGCTTGAATAAACAAAAATGCGTGCTGCACTCTTTATCTTATGTAATACAGTCTAACTTATTTATGACATTCTTTTTATATAATACCTTGCTTGCTACTGAAAATTTAGGCAGGAAGTATTTAACAAAATCGCAAACTGTGATGCTACACAGTTTTTGATATTCAAATGCATGTTTAGTTTTTCTTCATTAAAATGTGTAATATGAACAAAATATATAAAGAAAGTACATTCTAAGACACAAAACAACACACTAAGGAGCAGCCCAATAGAGATATTTTGATACTTAAATACAAATATCAAAACATCTCTAAAATATATAATGTTAAATAATGAATAAGTAGTATAGTAAAAATACATTCAAAACATAAGTGTGATGGATTTAAGAATGAGACAAAATTTCATAGATATGATGCATGTGTACAGTAAAAGAAATGGCTACAATTTCAGAAAAGCTGAAAATTTTTCCTTCTAAATGGAACTGTCTCTCATCATTATAAGCCTTATTCACAAGAAAAGATATTTTGTACAGTATTCAGTTGAGAGGGGTATGATTTACTTAAGAAAAAAGAGCTATACTAAGTGAGCAAGCTAATAAATCATTGGCCTGGATGCAGGCTGTTACTGAATACAGCAGTCACTCATTACGATTAGCAGATGGTGTCCTGCATGATTTTTTGTTAAAATGTCTCCAATTGTTGGCTTAATTTGCCAAAATTCTGGGATAGTCAGAGCAGTCTTCTCATCAATTGCAGAAGAGATCTAGTGACATAGCTGGTTAAAGAAGTGTTGTAAAGACACATGAAATATGTAGCTGAACATTACCTTGCAGAGAAATGTTCAGAGTGGTGTGACATACAGCATGCAGTATAATTTTGTTAATATGCCTCTGTAATATAAAGGTGCCACAGATGATTATTTAAATGGTCTAGCTATCAAAATTAATGGTAGCGCAAACCATAATGCCTTGTTGCCATACTGCGTGATTTATGACAGCAAAGCTAGAATCCCAACACTATCCCATAATTGTCCCGACATGTTGACACTGGTTGTTAGGGCAAAATGGAACTTCTCCAATCAATAGAATTCCATGTTGATTGAGTCTGGTACCAATGTAGCTACAGTTGATGATATATACTAGTGAGCATTAAATGGCATAATTGATGGTACAGATTGCTCTCCAAGTCTACTAACAATGTTTCTGGCACTCACTTCTGTGTTAAGTCATACGTCGGATTATTGATACAGAAAAACTGACTGCTGTCAGAACCACTCTGATAATCACTCGTCTTTGCATTCTATTTTCAGAATAGGGGAACTGGTATCTTCTCAAAGCTGAATTTAAAGTTGTTCTTCTATTCCTTCCAATATCATCTAATTATTGCATGATTCTGACACAGGAGTTAAGCAATTCATTGATTTACACAGTCAGCCTCTTTCATATTGTGACATATACTCACAATCAGTGTGAAGGAAAAACATTGTTACGATCAAAATGAGTAGCCATGTAATGGAAGAATTTGAATTTTGAAAATATTCAGTTCTGATGTGATAAGCTATTTATTTACTTGGTCTTAATTTTCGATTTTCTTAGTAAATCAAAAGGAACTTGCATAGAAAGTTTCATTACAATCAGATTATTTTTTCAGGATGTATCGACTTAACATTTCACAGAGAATTATGCGATATTATAATATATGGAAAATATTTCACTGAAATAAGGAAATAATGCATACATTACCTTACAAAAGTGATCAGACACTAAATATAAAAAAAATAATGACAAAATTTTTAAATAACATAAAACTAAAATTATAAAAAAACCTTTTTGAAGTGCTTTAGTCTTCATTTTATATTAGATACAAGTCTTTAATCCGGACTCGTCAGGACTTCGGCGATTTCAGATTAGGGGTTTTTCCGGATTATAAATCATCAATTTAAATCTGGTAAGATGGCATGCAGAAATTATAAAATTAAAAATATGAAACCGTAATTTGTTAAATAAAGAGCAATTATGATCTAAAGGGTATCAAAATTTACAAAAAAAAAAAAAAAAAAAAAAAAAAAAAAAAAAAAAAGCTTAATATTTAGTTGTTTACTTTATTAAACATTTCTTTCAATGTAAGTTGTTTAAGTTGCTTTGTTTTTTGTACTAATACTTTCTCTTTAATTCTATAAACAGACATAATTTCTTGTTCAATTACAAAGTTCTGCTGTTCAAGTCCTGTACTTGTTCAGTTACAAAGTTCTGCTGTTCAAGTCCTGTAACTGCTGTGCCAAGAATACCGACTAACTTGTCAATCAAAATTTTTTCGTTTTCACTAACCTCTCTGTCACTTTCTTCATGCCTTTATCAATTTTTTGCAGCAATTCCACTTTTTGTTTGATGGACATCGAAACATGCTTTCGCTTTGTAGATCATTGACAGCTTCAGAATCAGAAACTCTTTTTGACATAATCGAAGGTTCAAGCTTACTTTTTATAAAATTGCTCTAACAGTCTGCAAAAAATAATAAGCCAAATTACAAGATTAAGGAACAACGCAATCTGCAACATTAACTGAAATAGATAATTATATAATTTTAGCCTAGCTTATACTGTCCGTTACACATTAAACGCGCATGCATAAACGTATTATGTGCATGAGTAAAGATATTATGCGCATACGTAAATGCTACACATGTGCAGAAAGTTTGTAGCTTTGAGGTCCAGATTATAGATCATTCTGGGTTATGGACGTCCGAATTAAAGACTTTGAACTGTATTTGTTTCCGGATACAACATAATGAACATAAAATTTAATACTATCTCTTCAGAGCAGAAAATCATATCATTAAAAGCTTTCGGCACTATTTAAACTGTTAATAAAATCATTTGTAATAAATATTATGTCATGCTATTTTGTACCTCAGCCAAATAGATACTACCTAAAAAAATAATTTTCTTGAAATTTTCAATAAAAGTTTCTTTAATTTGTGTCATATTTCAATATATTTTTATGGTGGCTTTTTTAAGAAGACATTAAAAATTTGTAAATATATTCATAACTTATGTGAAAAAGTCAATAAGAAAATTTGGTAAGTCATTAATTAAAACCTATTTTTGACATGTAATGTTATTCAGAATGAAAGTAGACTCCACTGAATGAATGTAGAAAATGATGTAATGACAGTAGATAATAATCAAAATCTGAGTGTTTCCAAACTGAAGCAGAATTTCATTCTTACATTATAATTATTATTCTTATGTTTTTATCTTACGTTACATGAAACTTACATGGAGTAATTGTGAATCAAGAGAATGTTAAAATAGTAATCCACTATGCTTGGTGTTCTAAGTGGAAAAAAAAAAAAAAAAAAAAAACTACAGCTTTTTTTCTCAAAGTCTATGAGAAATAAAATTCTGAATACTGGAACAAAGCAAAATTTGATGAGGAAAGCTATAATATTTTTGATTAAGATGGTCAGATTTTTGCATTCATTAAACTCAAACAAGAATTTCAAAAATATAGTTATTAATATATAAAACATATAGCTAATATTAGAAAATGGTTGCTGAAATGGTACTAGAAATTATATTTTGTTGCTTCAAATTATAATCTTTATTTATTTATATTGTAATGGATCAGGACAAACATAATACTATTTTTAAATGATAATTCTAAATTCCCCCATGATAATGACTTCAACCTATTGCTATGAATGTGCAGTTCTGGCTACTGTTAATATTTCTAAGAAACTCAAAACACCTCCTCAGTATCCAGATATAAACTATTTTAAACACACTCCGCAAGAAATAAAATACTTAATTGGGAAACAAAATACTTTTTTTTAAATAAATAACTGAAATGTTGATTTTAAAATATTGCAATAGATATTATTAAAAAAATCATCAGTGCAAAATGAATACAGTATAATTAGGCTAGAAATGATAATAATTCCAACTGAGTTAATGCTTAAAAGATATTAGAAAAATTTTAAGACTATTTATTTTATTTGACCCCCAAAAAAAGTATATGATCAATTTATGGCTTGAATAATATAAGTAAAAAAATATGTTAACTTTTAAGTTTAATATGTTATTTTGGGGGAAAACATCTAATGTGAGAACAATACTACATAAATGTGCATTTCAATGAAAACCACGCTTTATAGTCTCAACTTAATGCATTTAAAATTTGTGATGCTATTTATAGATTTAAAGAATATCTGATCACATTATGAGATGCTATTTCCTTACAAAAAAGTTAAGCAATAAAAAAAGTCATACTCAGTTTTAAATCATGTATTGTATTGGATATTTATTTATTAGAGGACTAAATACCTGGAGGTAAGAGCTTTTTCAAAGTCAAATATCTGAAAATAATGAGGGACAGTAAATGCATTTATATCAAATATATAATAAAAGCATTCTTTATTTTATTTGTTTGTATGCATAAATTATGGTAAGAAAATATTAACTATACATGCATAAATTATGGTAAGAAAATATTAGAAAATGAAAAATTATAGTAAAAGAAATTCCTTAAGCCTTAGCATAGTATACTATACATAATAATAATACAGAATGGATGTACTTGCATAAAAACAAAAATACTATTATAAAATGTTTTGGAATGATATAAATTGTATTCCCTCTGTCTCATAACAATAGTAGTAAATGAAAATAAACATAGAATGCAACATTTATTGTCAAAAACCGAGATTAAATTAAAAAATAAATTAAAAATATTATTCCTAATTTTTATTATGAATGTTAAGATGTTTCTGGATTTTTCAACAATTTCGTTCCTGTGTTTACTTGTAGGTAAGATACCTTGACTACAAAGCTTTGCTTTCCCTATATGCATAAGCTTAATTATTGGAGCCATCATTCTTCATTGCTTCCAGCATACTCATTGATGTAACAAAAACATATTACCCAGTATTTTGGGAGAAATAATATCGTTACGGAATGTAAAGGCACGGTGAGATGGCTTCCCCGCAAAGCAATTTTAGGGTTGCCATAAAAATGGCAATGGAGGGCAGGGTTGCCACATTTGGTGAGAAATCGTCCATTTGGCAACAAAATTGTCGATATACCATGAACGGATGGAGAACCTTCTGGAACGAATTCTTACCAGTTTAGCCCAGAATGTTCTTGAACACAAGCCGAAAGCTATATAAACCCTGGTGGTCCGCAGTCAGTCAGTGTGTGGGTGGACTATGTGTAATTCAAAATGGCAAACCGATGCATTCATGGCGTCGAAGACTGAGGCCAGCAAACTCTATTTTTCAAGCTGAACTACTTTCATTAAAAAAAGCAGTACATCTTCATCTTTTCCATCACAATTGGAAATTTACAGTGATTCACTTTCTAGTCTGGAGGCCATAAAGGGGGAAAATTCAAGAAATACAATAGTAGCAGAGATAAAAATCCTTCTTCTTAACCTTCCTGCCCCTTCTAGACCCTTATTGAGCTGGCTTCCTGCTCATAGGGGGATTTATGGCAATGAGTTGGCAGACCAGTTGGCAAAAGAAGCGGTAAGAGGGAATAATCTTCCTCAATATTCATTGCCTTTACCATTTTCTTATATTAAGAGATATACAAAAGAGAACTTACTCCAGCAATGGCAAAAAAAGTGGGAACACTCCACAACGGGCAGAAGAACTTTTAAATTTTTACCAAAGGTCTCGGAAACATTTTTGGTTCATGTGCAGCGCAGTCAACTTTTCTCACGGGTCACGGTCCCTTTCCATCGTTTTTATTCCGATTTCATCTAAAGGAAGATGACAAATGTCACTCATGAAGTATTGGGTCTCCAGACCATTTTTGCTTTTTCTTCCCCACTTATCGCTGAATTTCATTTGCAAAGACCATCAGACTTATATTGGAGTGAATGGATTAAAACACTATTAAAACGACAAATTCTTCAGCACAGATTAACTCAAATTTTTAATATTTGCAATGAGATGTATACGTTTCCAACAACCTTCGTATAATATTTGCACTATGGGTAGCCCTTTTAATTTTTTTTTTTTCCCATTTGACATGTTGTAATGATAATTGTGTATTTAACTTCAATGCATAGAATATTGAGGACTATTAAGTACTGGATGTGCTCTGCACTTCCACATGGGAATAAGTTCTGCATTTGGAAATTGTCTGTTTGTATGTTAATATTATAGCCTTTAATTCTGATTTTTTTTTTTTTTTTTTTTTTTCCCTGTATTATTTTTGCATTTTTGTAAGTTAATTACAATTATTGTTAGCTGGTAAACTGGAATATTCTGACTGTGCAAAAAAAAAAAAAAAAAAAAAAAAAAAAAGTTCATTACAGTTCTTAGAATATCTGCATTTTCAGTAAAAACAGGAATTTAGAACTGTATCTAATTATTTTGTGTGTATATCGTGTCCATCACAATTGGGTATAAGTTTCTGTTTTCCAGTAGATTAACTATTTTAAGCATTGTGAACTATTACAGCCAATTCAACTTAGAGTGGATTTATTTTATTAGCTGGCAAATTGGAATATACTAACTGTAATGAAAAATTGGTTGCAGTATTTGAAACATGTGCATTTATATAGTATGATGGATTGATAACTATACTAACTGTAATGAAAAATTAGTTGCAGCATTTGAAACATGTGCATTTATATGGTATAATTGATTGGTATATAATACGAACTGAATAATTTTTGGTATTTCATGTTTGTTACAATTGGGAATTGGTTTCTGTTTTTCTATAGATGTTTTTAATTATTTGAAGAAATCGGGCACTGTTATAGCCATTGTACAAGAATGATTAGCTGTATTTGAATATGTGCTCTTATATGTGTAGGAAACCTGTCGAGTTTGTATAGAATTGAAATTGTTTATTTGTGCTATTTATAATCGTATAATAGAAAATTTATTATTTTAACTGCCAATAAAAAATTAGTTGCAGTTTTTTTTTTTTTTTTTTTTTTTTAATTAAACATGTATAATTTGTAGTATGTTTGATTGGTAAATATTCTAACTGTAATAAAAAATTAGTTGCAGCATTTGAAACATGTGTTTTTTTATGGTATGATGATTGGTATATAATATGTACTGAATAATTATGTATTTTATGGTCTATTTTAATTGGGAATTAGTTCCTGTTTTCCAGTAGACGTTTTAACTACTTGAAGGAATTGTATATTATTGAAGCCTTTTCATAAACATAATTAAATACATGTAATGGAATAAATATAGCATTTTTTAGAATATGTGCTTTATATTGTTGGAATACCAGTACTATTTGAAGACTGGTTTGTAACATAAATCTGTAGTTTTGCACAATTTAGAATTGTATTGAAAATTTTAAGAATTAGTTTCCTTCTTTTTTTATCATCTGGGAGCCAAGTCATTATTTACAAAACATTTGCTTCTGTGGATAATAGTAAAATAGTGTACATATTACAATGAAATTCCCAATTGCAATTTCGTGATTGCCTTGTGAATAACTGCGACACAGTGTGCAAATTGCTATGGACGCACATAATGAGATGTGCAAACTGTTAAGGACACAAAGTTATGATGTTTTGAAGTGGACAAGTAGTATTTATTTGGACGATGAACTTAACAAAAGTGAACATAGAATAGCCTACACAACATCATATCCTTTGGGCTATGGAACTGTCAATTGCCTGAACCTGAACTCATGTGACTGGTTTACTCTGTGGATAACTGCAAAAATAATACGGAAACACGTCATTAGGTGTGTAACTGATAAGAACATGAAGTTATGACGTATTGAAGAAGACATAGGTTTAAAAACTGTTAATATATAAAGTTTCACTCTCCACAACATAGATCCTATCCATGACAATATAATTATTAATTGATCGTATATTTATTTTCATACGGATTATTATGTAACAATTATTGTATAGATGACATTGTCAATTTAGCATTGTAATATTCTATCATTGATTCAGTGAATGCCGCTGACGGTGGATGGTAGATTCTTTTCCGTCGCATGGACATATAATTCTGATTGGTGTAGAACCTTAGGTCGGAGGTCCATGCGACTGTGTATCAAAAATTGGGTGTCTCTCATCGAGCGAGTGTGTCTCGTCTAGTGAGTCAATCCCTGTGAAGGCGATCACGTTGACAGCCCGGCCAGCGAGTGCCAAGTGGGTCGTCAAATGCACCGAAAGAGTCTTGTAGAGTACCGTAGTTAGTGCATCGTCGAGAGAGCATGTTGAGCTCCGGAAACGACTGAACCAAGAGTCAGGAGCTGTGCTCTGTGTGTCGTCGAGTGCATCACGAGTTGTAGCGTGGAGTTCCGAGAACGACCAAGCAGAGTCAGGAGCTGTACTCTGGAAAGCAGAGTTGGGTGCTTTGCAGGAAGCCGTCTCCACCGTGATAGCCTGATAACCTGAAGGCTGTGTCACTGATCGTGTCAGCATGTTTATAGTAGTTCATCGACGACTGTAAAACATGTTTTGGAGCTGTCCTGACAATATTGTCTAAATAAAGTGTCTTTCGATACTTCATCAAGTGTCGTTGTTATTCACTCCAAATCTACAAACCCCGTATGAACGCAAAGGAAGAAAATAACATAACAACTGGTATCAGAAAAAAAAAAAACGCAACAATATCAAGGGCTATGTTTGCTGCTTTTGTGGTGCCTCGTCTGCTAAGAGGAATATATCTTGGTTTTTCATGTTTTTCTCCATAATCTTTGCATTTACGTTCACAGTTTTGTTAATTCAAAGAATCAACATTAGAACAAGTATCACTTTGACGATTATTTTCGGAAGCATTTTTCCAAATTCTTGATATGGTCATTCTGTGGCATTTAAATTGTTTTCTTCTGAGTGAACTGGACAAATGCATAGAGATCTTTGCTTGAAAATTTTCATCTTCATTTTACAATGGGTTGATATTAAACTAAAATAAAACAATTGATTTTGATGCTTAATTCATAATAGAATCAAAAGTCGTTAGTTCGGACACCCATAATCCAGACTTCAAAGCTACAAACTTTCTGCGCATGCGCCATGTTGACGCATGCGCATAGGCGTTTATGCATGCACTTAAGACCTTTACGGCTGCACATACGCGTGTGCACATAATACGTTTACGCTTGCGCGTTTAATGTGTAATGGATGGTATAAGCTAAAATTATCTAATTATGTATTTCAGTTAATGTTGCAGATTGCGTTGTTCCTTAATCTTCGAATTAGATCCGGCTTATTATTTTTTGCAGACTGTTAGAGCAATTTTATAAAAGTAAGCTTGAACTTTCGATTATGTCAAATAGAATTTCCGATGCTGGAGCTTCCAAAGGATCTAAAAAGAGAAAGTATGGTTTGATGTCCATCAAACAAAATGTGGAATTACTGCAAAAAATGAATAAAGGCATATCCTTTGTTTCTCTAACCATTTCGAAATCTGTTTATCAATTTCACGCTGCTCTGCGGCCTGTGGGGGCCGCGGCACGCAATGAATTGGAAGTTGATCTGTCAGCACTATCCTTATCTTCAGGGCAGATGTTTTTATTTTATTTGTCTTATAATTTTTTACTAAATGCAGCATTTCATCTCGATGTACTCCATCTTTGATATGATTTAAATCAAATTTCTCGTCATTATAATTTGCTTCCGATAGTGAAGAAAGTGACACAGAGGTTATTGAAAACGAAAAAATTTCGATTGACAAATTAGTCGGTATTCTCAATGCAGCAATTATAGGACTTGAACAGCGGAACTTTCTAACTGAACAAGAAATTATGTTTGTTTATAGAATTAAAGAGAAAGTATTATCACATAAAACGAAGCAACTTAAACAACTTACATTGAAAGAAATATTTAATAAAGTAAACAAATAAATATTAAACTTTTTTTTTTTTTTTTTTTTTTTTTTTTTTTGTAAATTTTGATACTCTTTAGATCATAATTATTCTTTATTTCATAAATTACGGTTTCATATTTTTAATTTTATAATTTCTGCATGCCATCTTACCAGATTTAAACTGATGATCTATAATCCGGAAAAATCGATAATCCGGAATCGCCGAAGTCCCGATGAGTCCGGATTAACGACTTTTGACTGTATTAGGTTAACTTAAAAATTAAAAGATGTGTTAAAACAAATGACAGATATCATGAAACACTGATTTTGATTGAACGCTTCGCAATTTTGCACTACACCATCACTTACAGATGCATTCACCAATAATTCTGCTTTAAATATTCACTTGCTACTATTATTATGGGACAGAAGGAGTAATTAAGTATTTTATTTCATAAACTTTAAAATCTAAGTTTAGTATAATTTTATACAGTGAACTGGGTTAAGTGTATTACTTTCACAAATATATGCTTAATAAATTATTGCTATTGAGAACAGAAATATATTTAGGCCAACAAAAATAACCTTTTTTTAAAAATTTTTTTATTTATTTATTTTTCAGAGCAGCTTGATTAAGTGATAGACCCATGGTTGAAATGGTGTTAGCGACAAAGGGCCAGAGCATATTGCTCTACCCCTAATCAAATAAAGTTTAAAATTTTTTATATAAATAACTTATCTGAGATCTAAATAGTGAAAAGAAGTAAAACAATAGGAATCACGTTAGTAAACACAAGCAAAGTGTAATCGAGCTGATGATTAGTCAATCACAGGAAAGTGTGAATTAAATAGTGCCACAGAAATATAGTGCACATAAACAATAACCAACTACAATTTAGTTATATGATTTTATATGATTAATTGTGGATTTAAGATCAGCATTGGCCTTTGGATGTTATTATGATAATTAAAGTCATAGCAGTATTATTTATTCACATCTGGTTCTCATGAAGTCTTTTGGCTAAGTGATAGTAATGTGTCCTTAATTGGACAATTTTAAGTTCCTTATGAATTACATTATGTTTTTATGTACCAGGGAAAATTAATTATTTGTTTTAGTACATTATTTTGGCCAAGTAGCAATTTGTACATTATTTTGATCAATTTCCATTTCTCTTTTTTTCTACAAGAGTAAGCCTAAACTGGACAGGCATAGCACAACATGCAATGCAGAGTGAATTTATAAATGAGTAACTTGATATCGATATAAAGAACATTGTTTTGAGTAATTAAAGGAGTAGAGTTTAACTTTATGCTTTCAAAATTTCTAGATAATAGATGCAATGTGTGGGGTACATGAGAGTGAATTAGTTACGATCACCTTAAGATAAGGGACTTATTTAGGCCAGGCCAGAGTTGTTCCATAGAACTAATACTTGTTGATGTTCTTCTTCCTGGTAAATAATATGGCCATAGTTTTATCAGCATTCCCTTGAATTTTCTATTTTCAGTCACATCTTCAGGGCCTGTATTTTGTAAATGTTGTATGACTGGCCGAACATATGCACTTTAAGCAAGGATTGCTGTGTCATCAGCTTACAATACTAGCGTTGTATTAGATGTGTGTGGAATTACTTAAATGTCAAAACGTGCGGACCCTAACAGAGACCCTTGTGGTATACTAGCTGAGATACTAGCTGAGATAGCTCGGCAAGTAGACTTTGTGCCCGAGATGTGAATGACAGAGTGTCTGCCTGTCAGATAGGATTTAATTACACATGTAACATAATTTTGGAAGCGCAGATTGTGGATTTTGTAGATAGTGTTTGTCCATTCAGACACGATTGAAAGCTTTAATATGTTGATGAAAAATCCTCCTCTGATCTTCTTGGTTTGTGCACTTCTGGAGATTAGTTCTACTACTCTACACAGCTGATATGTGGTAGCTAAGTTCCTTCAGAATTCAAATTGGCACAGTATGATAGCGTTGTTTACATCCAGAAGTTATTGACTACTGCTTTCAACAATTTAAGTAGAACTGCTTTCAACAATTTACTGAGACGTGGTAGTAGATTAACTGGCCAGTATGATTCAGGAGCCGATTCAGTCAACTCTTTAATCAAATTGTCAATGTCACTCACCATATGTACAGTTGTTAAACTGTAATGAATAATGCTTAAAGCTTTGGCAAATTTTTGCCAGTCAGCAATAATGTCTGTTTTATCTGATGTGATATAACTGATAAGTGATGAATGAAACTTCACTATTTTATTCATCACTTTGTAAAAATCTTTCCACAGATAATTTATTCCCTATATAAGTACTTAAAAATATATGAATTATATATGCATGAGATTATTCAATTTGATATAGTCTAAATATTAAGCATTAATATGCACATATACTATTTAGTAACAAAAAAACAGGATAAACATATTTATCCTTTTAAAAGAAAAAATGAGAAAAACGAACTTCAATCCATGATGTATTGCAATATGGTTTAAATGACCACTAACACCACCTTCGTCAAATGATATTACCTACAACAATAAATTTTAAAAACATTAGTTTGTGAACAAAATGAAAAAAAAAAAAAAAAAATACTATACATCTTTTAGGCAATTTTTTTCACATTCATAACAATATTTATTAAAACTTCAATTATCCTCTGTTGACAAAAAATTATATGTATTATAAAACATGGGAAAAAATCATGCTGAAAATATATAATGGAAGTATATTTTTATAAAGTTTGAAAACTATAAGAAAAGTATTTTTTATTTTGGACACATTCTTATTTCCTTGTATCTAACATATGAGTAATTCATATTAAAAACAGTTTCAACTTAAAAAATAATATTGGCCATAATAGTAAGACTACTAAGCTCTGGCAATTTAACACAGGTTTAATAAACAACAAATAGGCTAGCTGCATGAGATTTGCAGTCTTATCCATGCATAACATAAATATAAACTATTTCCTTTAAAAAGTTCAAAAAGACATTCCTTCTTCAAGGAAGGGCCTTGCCATAGCCAATTAAGCAATAAAAAAGACTGCTGATAAATTCATTATACCTCAACTAATTCTCTTCCTAATTCTAAGAAAATCTATGCATGTCCAGAATTAATCTTGCTGCCACCTTTTATAATGATTATTTCAATATATTTAACATTTGTCAAGAATAACTTTACTGATTTTTATTGTCCAATAATAATGTTTTGAAAATAGTTCGTTTTATTGACAAGAAAGTGCAGGATATATGAAAATTATTGGATACATATCCGAATTATATAAAAAAAAGCATGAGCACTGCCTGCTTTTTTATCTCAAATGTATTATTAACACGTTACAGAACAGAAGCAGGATATCTCTGTTGCTTTTCATTCCATAACCCCAATACCTAACATGAAATCAAGTATTACTTGAACATAATAAAAGACATAAATTAAATACTACAGCATTAAACAGCATACATTAAAATTTATTATTAACTTTTGTAATTTCATCATTAAAAAATAAAAGCAATATACATCTATCTGTTCCAGTTTTATCACCCCTCTAGCATACATTTTTTTAAGATACTTCATAATGTATCCAATATTTAAATAACCTGTAAACTAATAGCGTAATTTATACATAAAGGGAATATATGTTCATAATATTAATATTGTGATTATACTTACTACATTTGCTGATAACTGTTGCACATATTTGAGTATTATAACAGCAACTCTTTTCTTATCCCAAAATTTTTTGGGATCATCAGGAAGTTTGCTTTAAAGAAAAAAGAATTACTTTCTATAACCGAAGCACAGCTTTAACATGCAAAATTTCAATCCGAAGTTTGCTTTAAAGAAAAAAAAATTACTTTCTATAACCAAAGCACAGCTTTAACATACAAAATTTCAATCATTTGAATAATAATAAAATAAATAGCAATAATATAGCAAATTAAAAATGAATAAATAAATAACACTCATATAGGCATTATAGTCATTGTCGCCAGCTATTATCCCTAGCTATTCTATCCATAAGTGCATGTCTGCAAACTCAGTGTCTGTGTACCATTGCATGCTCTTCCTATGCTGGCTACCACTCAAATGAGGAAATTCTTACTTTTTCCTCCTTAACTTTCATGCAGAGCACCACCTAATGATGTATGATAACGTTTCTGGTCATGAGTTGCTATGCAATTCTCAGTCCTTATGATGTGCCCTACCTGTGTTAAAAGTTTGTCACTATATTTTTGAGACAGCCTATATATCCTGAGACATGAAAAATGGACACTGGATTTCACTAGTTGACCAATTAGAATGGAAGATGTAAAACTGCCTGTTTTCTTTCTTTTCTACATACCTGCTTAATTTTTTAATGGAATTTCTATCTAATAATTATATTACCATAAACTTTTATTTAAAAATATACCAGCAAATATGTAACTAATAAAAATCTTATGACTGTTTTATAAATTAGTTAATGTACAAAAAGTTTGATTTTAAAAAGTAACTGCAAAAAATGTTATACATAGGTATCAATTAACTCTATAAACATGGTTTATAATAACTACATAAAACTAGTTTTATATATAATAAATATTTGCCTTAGATCTATTAACCCTCTAAGCTGCAGAGCTTTTCAGATTTACTTATGCAGAACTGTATTTAAAAAGCATTTTTTGGAAAGGGGCTAAATTTGTACATTTAATTATTTTAGTCTCTGTTTTCTAAACTTTCATTCATTATTACAATATGTATAGATCATTAAAAAAATAAAACAAAGTAAAAAATTTTAAATATTTTAAATAGTAATGTAATATATATCAAATGACAAAAAATATGATGATTGAATAAATAGGAGGTCATGCCACTCAGGAGATTAAACTTCACCAGTCTAGAAAAGAAAATATGGCTCTCTGCTACCAATTACTTTAAAAATAACTATAAATCAGATATGCAGGTGTCTTTATCTTAGCAACAGCCAGACCTCTGTTATAATCTTAAAGCTAATTTTCTATAAGTTACTAAATTTCGATCAATATTTGAAAATATAGTCCACATAACTAATGTATAACACACACTTATTTTCTGACTTACCTATCTTCAATTATAACAAGATTCCCAGCAGGAATGCCAAGTATTTTGCAACTTGCTCGTAGTTCCCTTTTCCTCTCTGCACTTTGGTTATAAAATCCACCTGAAATTTCAGTAAAATGCATGTATGTGTGTGTTAATTATATATGCATGTATATATGCACACACAAATTGTTTCATAAGAAACTAATAGTAAAGTTAATCAAATTTAAATTAGCTTTATATGAATGAGAGAATATTTATTATATATGCACATACATATACATGTTTTAGTCTTTGGCCCAGTACCTGCACTAAAGGTACTGCTTCCATATTTTTTTCCTAACTTTATAAAGAACATGTTTTGAGGGAAAACTTTGATTACAACCAGATATATATATAATACCAATGTTAGAAATCTATAAAAGATACAAACTGTAAAAGGTGCTTATGTGCTCCGGCTCACTCATGGAATCCAAGTGCAAATAGCTCTTGATAAATAGTACAAATACTGATATCATTCCCAAATGCTATTCGAGAGTCTATGGCAGTTGTTCTCAAACTTACTATGCCCCTTTATATAGCCAAAACCCTAATGATAAACTCCCCCTCCCCAAGTGAAATAACTCTATATAATGCACAAAAGAAAAATTACAATTTTAACTTCCATGTCTTGAATGATAAATGGTGAGAGAAAAATAAAATATTAATAAAACATTCTTATACAGTCAAAAGTCGTTAATCCGGACTCGTCGGGACTTCGGCGATTCCGGATTATTGATTTTTCCGAATTATAGATCATCAGGTTAAATCTGGTAAGATAGCATGCAGAAATTATAAAATTAAAAAATATGAACCGTAATTATGAAATAAAGAACAATTATGATCTAAAGGGTATCAAAATTTACAAAAAAAAAAAAAAAGCTTAATATTTATTTGTTTACTTTATTAAACATTTCTTTCAATTGCTTCGTTTTTTATGTGATAATACATTCTCTTTAATTCTTTAAACAGACATAATTTTTTGTTCAGTTACAAAGTTCCGCTGTTCAAGTCCTATAATTGCTGTGTCGAGAATACCGACTAATTTCTCAATTGAAATTTTTTCGTTTTCAATAACCTCTGTTACTTTCTTCGCTATCGAAAACGAATTATAATGACGAGGAATTTGATTTAAATCATATCAAAGATGGAGTACATCGAGATGAAATACTACATTTAATAAGGAATTATAAGCCAAATAGAATAAAAACATCTGCCCTGAAGATAAGGATAGTGCTGACAGATCAACTTCCAATTCATTGTGCAGCGTTAAAGATAAACAAAGCTTAGATAAACAAACGTTAAAGTTTAGATAAACAAAGGATATGCCTTTATCCATATTCACTGCTGACTAGAAAGTCACATCTTAGCCAATAATAATATGTACATTGGTTAGTACTGTATTCACAATGGCCAGGATTACACTTCAGCTTAATAGAGGAGAGCTGCACTATGCATTTGCTGCCCATGCAATATCTGCAGATCCTAAATTTTGATGCCTGGTTCCTCCAAAAATTTTTTTAATTTTGCCGTCTCTAAACTTTGCTGCCTAGTGCATCTCTTAAATTCTAAAAATTCCTGCTCTGGCAGCAATCCTGTTGGTGGTTTAAAATTTTAAAATGCACTTGACAAATCCTGTTAGAACAAAAACTTATTTACATAACAAAAATACAGATACATAATTATTTGAATACAGTAGAAGTCCAGAAATCCGCAGTGCTTGGGACCAGAGGTTGTGCGTATTTTAGAATTTTGCAGATTTCAGGACAGAAAAGATAATGCATAATATTCAGACTAAAAGGGCATAATAAAAAAGGCGTATTAGATACATTTAAATAAATTATTATATACATTATTACATCAATTTATTATATGTGTTATATTATTATTATTATATATATATATTTATATTATTATTCATTTATATTAGTGATTACAGAGATATTTAAAAGTATTAAGGATATATACAATAAAGACATATAAAAATAAGGGATATTAATAAAGCACAAAATATTCATTTTTTTACATGTTTTATCCATTTTTCTGGTAGAAGTTTGTTTTAAAACTTTAGGGTGCTTCAGAGCAAGTTCTTTTTGTAAATTATATAGAGTCAGAATCTCTTGTTCTATGACACAGCTGTTTTAAAAACTTTAGGTATTTTTCACCACATTCCAAACCCTCATTAAAAGATATTTTCTCATTCCTATCACCATCTGTGTTGGTGTTGGAATAGTTTTCTTGCTATGACGAGTTCAAAACAGAGCCAATGATTTCATCATCGGCCATCGCATTTGCCACTGTTGGCTCATTTGAACACATCATATATTCAACAATATCTTTTTGCAATGCCTCCTCATTTATTCTTTCTTTCGAATATAAAAGCAATTCTCTTGCTGTAACCCTTGCTGCACTGACCTAAAAACCAAAAAATTCACTGTCATCACTCTTAGTTTCAATAAATGGAGAAGACAGCCATACATTTACTAATGTTTTTAGGGAAATAGAATTCCACAATTTTGCTAACAAATAAATGCAGTCTTTGATGGTGAACTTTTTTTTTTTTATAATCACAAAGTGAAATTGAATAGTATCCTGAAAGAGGATTTCCTGTTATGAGTCATTATTTTTTGGTAATTATGAAGACATTATTTGGTAAGTAATTTTTCTTCGATATTTCATTCCTTATGTTATGGTTTCCAGAACCTACAAATTGAATGTTTATATTTTGAAAGGCAACATGGATTTTGAGTAAATGAATTTTTGGTATTTGACTGTACAGCCAAATTAAGAAAGTCAATAATGTTATATTCATTCAATTCATTCTATTTTACTTTAGATACTAAATTATACAAAACTGTGCTTTGGATTATGAAAAAAGTGCTAGGCAATGAGAAATGTATATAGTTGTATTTAAGAAGTGCATTAATAAAATACAATACAAGTATATTTACAATCTTTACCATAGAAAACAACATTCCCACAATATCAATGCCATATGCAATTTAAACATATAAATACATAGAAAAACAAATATAATCAATGCTAAATTAGTAGACAAATAAACACTTGAAAAATTGAACTTTTCCATGGAACTCTTATATTTTACCCCTGGGCACCTGAGTAGTAAAGGTATCAATATTATTTCTAAACAATAATAAGTCCAAAAATCTGAAACGACATATATTATTCATTGTGGTTGTACCTTGTCACATTAGGTTACATTATGAACCCTTACTAAGTTCATACACTGTCTATGTGTTTACTTGTAGAGATAATCTGAATCAGAGAATGTAAAAAGTGATTTCAATCGGAGATTTAGCTGCACATTTTACCACGAACTGACCCAGTCCTGTAGGCAGTCAGTTAGTTTACTTTTAGTTTTGACTGAGTATTTTCTTTGACTTTTGAGAGTGACCATTAGGGTTACTTGGCAAGCATGTCCTTTTTTAGGACAGTACTCACAGATGATGAGGCTAGTGACTGTACGAATTCTGGCATTGACGCGATGAATTTCTGAAAGAACCCAGATTAAGGAAAAAAGCAAAAACTAAAAAGGAAAATTCGAGTTCGGAGAAGGAAACCCCGAATGTGGAAAGAATTAGAGACGAAAGAATTGAGAAACTTATCTAAGAATATAGAGCTGACTATTTGACTGATCACTTGGAATTTGAACAATGATTAAAGGAAGCCAAAACTCCAGAAGATCATAATAGAATTATGATTGAGCATGTAATGAAAAACTCATCAGTAAGAAGCAACGAACGAAGAAAGTACCTTCCATTCCTAATAATGAAAATGATTGGACTATGCACCAAAAAAGATGGCTAAAATTCAAGAAAAACTAATTCTGATGGAGATACCTCAAGAAAACTGTTTTCAAGTACTTGGGAAAATCACCGAGGAAAACCCCGAAGGAGGAGCCACCACCGACAACCCAACCCCACCCATTGTATTCTTACAAGACAATGTTAATTGGATGATGCTGAACGAAATGTTCACTCTAAATCATACAGAATGCCATGAATTGCAAATGAAAGGAAAATCCATCTTCATGTATACGAAGAATTTGAAGGATTACAGTGTGATGAACGAACTTTTGCTTGAATAGAAGATCCCCTACCATTCATACCAGTTTGAATTCGAAGAGGCGATTAGAGTCATCATGAAGAACCTCCCCGCTACTATCAAAGCAGATGCCATACTTTCTGACCTTAAATACAGGAAATATCCAATAGAAAAAGTCAAGCAGTTCTCCAAAACCCATGAAGGACAGAAATTAGACCATATACCTACTGGAACTAAAAAGATCCCCTGAAGGCAATAAGATTCACCAGCTTAATAATATGTTTAATTTTAACATCACCATAGCCAAATTCAATCCCAAGAAAAGGCCAATCCAATGCTACCGCTGCCAGCAGTTCGGTCATTCGCAATATTATTGCAGTAAAGATGTGTCAATTTTGTTGCCGTCAGATGCGTAAAGTGCAAGCAACAACATCAAAGTAACCAATGCAACATGAAGCCAGAAGACAAGCCTAAATGTATTTTTTATGGACTCTGCCACGTCAGCAGCTATAGAGGCTGCAGTGAGTATAAGAAAGGATTCGAAAAGAAAAACAGCCCTCCCCAGCCTAAAGCTCCAGAATTCTCTGAAGAAAACTTCCCTAGTTCCAAGACTGCCGAAATTCCAGCGGAAAAAATTCCCAACCAAGCTACCTACAGCGAGAAACTCAAAGTTAAAATTACTCCACCCCCTAAAGACCTCAGCGACGCAATGAAATGGATTCAAGATGAAAAGACTAACTCATTCCTAACTTCCATTATCTCATATATTGGTAAAATCAGATCAGCAAAGAATTCTGCAGAAAAATTACAAACAGGCTTCCAAGTGGCTAAGTTGCGCATCAATTTCGCGGAATCCAAAGACTTAACACTCCCCCTATGACAGACCAATTGTGAAGCAGGAAATCCACACAACTACTTTCTGGACTTTATCTCTTCTACGTCTTATGCAGTCTACCTTCTTCAAAGGTCTTATACACAAGGCTCTAATCATTGCAAAATCATTTGAGAATACTTTTTATTTTAGAATTCTCTGCCAATACTTACTAATGTTATGGTAGGAAAGATATGTCATTTTTCCATGCGTTATATATAGGATGAGGCTTTTAGCCTAGGCACCTGTTCTCCATGTGCTTCGCACCTGAGCCTTCAATCGGAGATGATCTATAATTTGATTAACAGTAATATTCTGTATAATACCCAGGTTGGTTAGAATCAGATATGTTTCACTTCAAGAGATAAGTCTTTCAAAAACTGGATTGGCCTTCTTGAGCTACAATCTAAATCCCACAGAACACCTTTGGGATGAATTAGAATGTAGATTATGTAGCCAGCCATATGGGCTATACTCACTGCTATAATAGCAATAATTTCAGCTGTGATGGATGCCTGGAAGTCAATTCCCATAGCCACCCATCAAAAACTGGTGGGACGTCTTCCCAGACATGTGCAGGCTGTCACTGATGGAAAAGGGGGGCCAAAATCATAATCCGGACCTCTAGATAACAAGCAACTCTTTTTTTTTTCAATCCTTTACACTTTTTACAATCCTTCGCACTTGATATTTTCTCATGAGAAAATAATAGTCCCAGCTCTTAATTTTACTTTGGAGTTAATATTTACTAATATCTCCATAATAAAGACAGAAACATTTATTAGCATAAATCTATACAATCAATAATTTAATCCATAGTCGCCTTTCTGCTTGGCATACATTTCAAACAAACATTCTACATCAAAACATCACTCATTTTACATCAGTTGAATAATTTATATCTCTGATGGCAAGCTGGTGAATCATTATTTATTATATTTTGCTTTCATCACCCCATGACTATCAACTCATGAAAGCTTAAGAAATGACTCGTGCAACAATATCTAAACAATTTTTTTTTTTTAATATTAGAATTTGAATACCATAGAAAACTTTTATGTTGATATTATGTTTGGTTATGATTACAAACTTCAGATAACTGTACTGCGAAGCATTAATGAGGAGAAATTTTACAAATTTTTTCATAAGCATAAAAACAGATTTTGTAAATGAAACTCATAGGTCAGAAAATCACATTTTGTGCTGTCTGAATTTGGAATAACAGATGTGTTATTCAGATCAGACCCAGGACCAGCACCAGTTGATGTTGCTGCACGGGACAGCAGAACTTAGCACAGGCAAAATTTTTAGAATTTAGATTTTTTCATCCCCTAATTTTGTAGCTTTAGCAACAAAATTAGGGGATGAAAAAATCTTTAGAATTTGGAAAAGGCACTGAGACACAAAAAATTTAGAATTTAGGAAAAAGTGTGCCAGTGGAATATAGAACCCACAGAAACTGCATTAGGCCACAAAATGTTAGTCTTGGCTTAGATAAGCCTTAAGTGTATGCAGAAATTTATTTATTTAGGAGACTCAGATAAGCCTTAAACATATATAATAAATATACGTAAGTATAATATGTAACTAATATAATCCAAGCTTAATTTCATCAGTGTGCAAACAAAATTTAGCAAAACAACATGTCACATGACCAGTTTCATGATATATTACCAGTAGTGTACAGCAGATAATTGTTAAGCTTTATGGTGACAGCTGCAAATTTAAAGGTTTTTCTCAAAAGAAACAGCAGAATTTTCTAATTAATGGAATTTATCAAGAAAAGGTAATAAACGAAAATGATATAACAGAAATATTTCATTGTGATAACAATACCCTAGTAATCACTAAACTAGCCCATGGCAAAATCTGTCGTATGGTTCTAAATCTAAAAAATTTCACTAATAATAGCAAAAAAAATGACAGTGAGGTTGTTGGTCATGAAAAAATTTTGATTGACAATTTAGTGAGAATTCTTGATATGATAATTGCAGGACTTGAACTTTGTAACTGAACGAGATCTATTATATCTATCTATACAACTAAACAGACAGTATCAGCCAAAAAAACAAAAAAAAAAAATTAAGCAAATCACATTGAAAGAAATGTTTATTAAGCAAACAGAAAATATTGAGTTTTTTTTTTTTGTTTTGTTTTTGTGTGTGTGTGTATAAATTTCGATTCCCTTGAGGTCATAAATGCTTCATTACTTTATAAACCACTATTCCATATTTTAAATTTTAAAATTTATGCATTTCATCTTAGTAGAGTTAAAATGATAATCTAATATCTGGAAAAAATTCCATATCCAGGATCACCAACGTACGAGTCCAGATCTCAGATTTTGTACTGTATGTAGTAATTTTTAATGTGTGTGCATTAATAGATGTATTTTTCAAAGAATGAAATTTAATGTAAAATGTCCATGAGGTTTTGATTAACTTCTAAACTATAATTGAACTCTTCAATTATAATAACTCTAAAATGTGTTAGGGATGCTCATTTAAAACTGTGTCAGGATACGAGAATAACTAGAAGTAGCACTTTTCATTATTTTGCAGTTAACAAAATGATTTTCCTCATACATACATCACAATTCTAATATATAATTTTCCTCACATTATTATAATTAAAATGTTTCTATGTATTTAAAACAAACCTCACATTTATATAAGATTTATCATTGTATCCAATAGCATCCTTTTATTATGTTTGTTTAATCTATATCAGATGTTTTCATTGGGATTTGATATTAAATTAATCCTTCTATTATGCATAACCTTATACTACTTTTTTTTTACCTGCATTAAATTAATCCTTCTATTATGCATAACCTTATACTACTTTTCTTTACCTGCATTAAATTAATCCCTCTGTTAAACATATCTTTTAGTAGAGTTAAGTTTTTGATTTCAAAGCTTTATTTACTTTTCTCTTCCTTGCAGTATTAAATTGCATATGTAAAATTTTAAACTGATTTCCTAATACGACATTTTAAAATGATGCTTCTTAATAGATTTCAAAACTGAATGTTAATATGGATAATTTTTTTAAATGCATTTTAAAATTTTGCAGCTAATTTGAGACTTCTCCTCGCCATTCATCTAAAACAAGTGGCTTATTTATCCCAGCTCTGTTGTCCTTAAATCTATTTCAATAATGCATTCAGTGTCACTTATTATTACTTCTTTTTTTTTTTACATAGAAGATATGTACACTTCTTAGAAGTAACTACTCCAATTGAAAGTTGTGTTTGGAAATAATTCCAATTCTTCTTCACAAAATTTCAACAATATATAATCCTTTGTCCAATAAATACAGTACAGCTGAAGTAGTACAGCTGTTGTGATGAAATATGGCTATCTTCGAGTGTTATTCAAAGTGTTAGAATACCGTTTCTGACATGTATTTCTAACACTTGAAATTTTTCAAACTACATTTCCATAAAATTTGATTATTTAAGTAGTACAACTTTGGAGAATGTGAATTTTTGTATTCTCTATTTTTGGGCAAAATGCTGAAAAAAATGCAATGCTTGCTTTCTTTCTCATCAGGCTGCAAACTCCACAGTTCCATTAAAATTTGTTACGGCAAAAACAAATGCATTTAAAGTAAAAAAAATACTAGTCAGTAAAATGACTATCAAATTCAAAAGTGACAACTTCATGTGTACACACCTAAGTTACCAGACAGGTATACTTTTTTTGACATGGTGGGCTCCTACACACATGTACACACCTAGGTTACCAGACAATATACATTTTATGACATGGTGGTTTCCTACATGAATATTTTTTGTTACCATTGTGACTTATTAATATTTTATCATAACATTTTGGTGGGAGTGCAGATAGCTAGAAAATAGTCGAATTGAATTCAAAGACTTATATACTTTTCTTGAAAAATCATCAGACCTTGAAACCCCATTCAAGACCAGGTGATTAGAAAGAAAATAATATGTGGCAGCTTCTGACATAAATTATGCTTCGTAATTCAATTTGTCAGAAGGGCCCAACAAGTAGTGCAGGCACTCAAATTTTCACTCACCAATGTGTCAAGGGTGTACCTCGAGTACATCAATTCTGGTAAATCCATCCCTACCAGGATCAACTGTCATGGATAACAGCATGTGGTGACCAAGGTTGTCGGTGGCTAGCCCACATTTTAACAGTGGATAGACAAGCCACAGTACAACATATCACCCATTAAGTTAACGCTGGTGCACAGCAACGTGTAAGCTGCTAAACCATACAAAACCATTTCCTCTCAATGGGATACAGAAGGCATTGTCCTATAGCAGTGCCTCTGCTGATTGCACACAACGTGACACAATGATTAGCATGGAACATCTTCGACTTACTGTTGAGATGTGAAAAATGTTGCCTAGAGCGATAAATCATGATTCCCTTTGGTATATGTCGATGGCAGAGTACATGTACGGCATAAACCACAAGAAGCGATGGATCCTTCCTGCCAGCAGGGGACTCTTCAAGTTGGTGAAGGTGGTATTCTTGCATGGGGAGTCAAGTGACATCATCTCTTATATGTGAACATTACTGGGATATCCTTGGCAATCACCTGTTTCCATGTATTCGTTTTTGATAGCCCATTACACAGATTATCTTTCAACAAGACAATGTATTGTGCCATTGCTCCCAAATTATATCAGACAGCCACAGTAAGATAAACATTCCACAGCCCTGCACATGCTTTTCTGGTCATTAAGGTCACCTAACCTGAATCCAATTGAACACATCTGGAATGCAATTGAAAGAGATGTTTGAGGCTCTCCCACCTGATCTTCGTCATTTGTGGGAGGTTGTTCAGGAGCCGTGGATACATATGGCTTCCAGTGTCTTGCCAAGACAAATAGCAGCCGCCATCAGCCATCAGGGAAAGGTGGTGCTACACACTACTAGGCAGGCATCCCTAACTTAATTACTCTTCAGTGTGATTTGATAATTTGTTTTTATATGATAAAATGTGAACCCTTCGTGAGAATTTTCATTTCACTTTACTAATTATATCTCTATACTAATAAACATTAAAAAAATAAAAATCACCATTCAGCTTGTTGACATTATAAGCAAAATTGAAATATTTTCCCCTCAACTTCAAAATCTTAAAAAGTATGTATACCGAGCTATCACACTAAACAGAATATACAGATAACTGATCTGGAACGAACCTTATAAATTCATAGCACATTTTAGGCTTGTAGTAAGATAAGACAGACAAGTTTTCATTTTATACTACAAAGCTCATTCAGAAGCTCGCACATTTAGATGTATTTATGTCAGAATATGAAAAGAAAAAATGTACCGCTAGGTTTAAAACAGAAAACTACCTGAAGAAAGGCACAGTAAATAAACATCACAATCTTGTCTCAAAAGGTTTAATATAGTTGGGGCAAAAAACATACATTCATCGTCAGGATGTGCTGTCACAAAAACAACGATACTCTTCTTTTTTATGTAATCGTACACTTTAAAATATGCAACAAAAATATATGAAATACAAAGAATTAATAAACAGCTTAGAAATAAAAAGAACATGGTCTATTAAAAAAATTGCATTTTGGCTGAGAGTTTAAAGAAATTTTACACAACTTCATTTTTCACAAAATTCCAATTAAAAGACCGCGCGCTTTCCGTAGAAATAATCTACAGTCAACACAAAATGATACAGGAACGATCCCACATTAGCACCAAACATTCACTGCATTTATGATAAGGAAATCGTATTTATGAAAACGAAATATAAAGAAAATGAACTAATATAGATTTACTATTTTTCTTTTACATCTAGTACGTTTTTGCTGCATAATTTGGTACAAAATACTTTTGCTAAATATCTTACGTCTGATTTTCATATTTTACGGGTAGAAAAACTTAAAAGATTAGTGACGGTGATGCAAAACAAGAATTCAGTGAGATTGCGAAATTTCTTTTCTCGAAAACATGGCGTGCTTTGGTCACGTGTAGAGGTAAGTACTGTTTACAAGTTTTTATAGAAATTAAAATTTTAACAGCTGATTGTTTTCTTTCCTCTTTTTATCCCTTAAGTAATAATTAATATAAGAATTTCATCTTTAAAACTTCTGCTTTGCACGTAAATTCAAAATCTTGTTAAATAAATTGGTTCCTTTTTTAAATATTTAAATAGGTAAGCTAGCTCACGTAGGATACAGGAGCTGTCAGTTAATTCATCATTGCGCACTAAGCAATTAAATGAATACAGTATTATACAGATATAATAATTGAAGTGTATTCACCAATTACAATAAGCTGAAAATTTTTGAGCTACTGTAGAGGATGAAATTATCAAAGTTAATGAGTATTAAATGCATAAATTTCTATCTGAAGTCAAAACATTTGACTGAGCAACTCTGCGTTCCCTCCAGACTGTGTCCGGTGAGAAGATCGACATCGACGGAAAAGTAAATGTTAACATCACGTTTGGAAAGTGCCGCTTACCATCACACGGCATATGTAGTAGAGATCACTGATTCTTGCATACTCGAATTGGACTTTCTAAGGAAATATAATTTTTCCTTGGACTTTTAAAATAACGAATTGCATTCTCTATCTGAGGACATAGCGTTATTTGGAGTTAATGATGAAGAAGTTAAATCTGTCTATAAAATTATAGCACAAGACAATATCGCAATACCGGTAAGAACAGAAATTTTACTTCCTGGATCCATAGCCGAAAACAGAAATTTCCGCTACGGCATCATAGAATATCCAAATAACTGTAATAACCCAAAAGGAGTACTAGTAGCCTCAACACTCGTCGACCTATCCAAAACGGTTATCCCGGTGAGAGTCGCCAATGTAACTGAGAAGGTGAGAATTATTAAGAAAGGTGAAGTGGTTGCAGCATGTACTCCAGTAACCACCGTTGAAAGAAAGAGTAACATCCAAGAATCCGTGTCTTCAGAAAGCATTACATCAGAGTTACTTCAGAATGCGCAATTAAACGATGAAGAAAGGAATGCTGCCGATCGCGTCATTAAAGATCTTCAAGTTGTTTTCTCCCGCTCGTCTTCTGACGTGGGTCGAACCAGTTTGACACAACATAGAATTGATACTGGCGATCATCCTCCGATCAAACAACATCCAAGACGTCTTCTGATTGCTAAACAGGGAGAGGTACGAACACTTTTAAAGGATATGGAAGAAGGCAATGTCATCAAGCCTTCAGCAAGTCCATGGGCATCTCCCATCGTTCTTGTCAGAAAGAAAGACGGCTCAACAAGATTTTGCATTGACTATCGCCGGTTGAATGAAGTTGCGAAGAAAGACAGTTACCCTCTTCCTAGAATTGACAACATTCTAGACACTCTTTCTGGAAGCAAGTGGTTCTCAACACTTGATTTAAAGAGTGGTTATTGGCAGGTAGGTATGCACCCTGAAGACCGAGAAAAGACGGCATTTATTATGGGTCAAGGGCTTTGGCAATTCAAGGTGATGCCGTTTGGACTGTGTAATGCGCCGGCTACATTCGAACGCCTTATGGAGACTGTTTTGAAAGGTCTTTCCTACGAAGCCTGTCTGATATACCTGGACGATATCATCACCGTCGGAAAAAGTTTTGAAGAGCATCTAGAAAATCTTAGAAAGGTGCTTCAGAAACTGAAAGAGGCCAATCTGAAGCTGAGTCCCGCTAAATGCAAATTGTTCTGAAAGGAAGTGACTTACCTGGGACATGTCACCTCTACAGAAGGTGTGTGCACGGATCCTGAATAGGTGTCAGCTGTTAATCTATTACGGGTCAAGGGCTTTAGCAATTCAAGGTGATACCGTTTGGACTGTGTAATGCGCCGGCAACATTCGAACGCCTTATGGAGACTGTTTTGAAAGGTCTTTTCTACGAAGCCTGTCTGATATATCTGGACGATATCATCACTGTCGGAAAGAGTTTTGAAGAGCATCTAGAAAATCTTAGAAAGGTGCTTCAGAAACTGAAAGAGGCCAATCTGAAGCTGAGTCCCGCTAAATGCAAATTGTTCAAAAAGGAAGTGACTTACCTGGGACATGTCATCTCTACACAGAAGGTGTGTGCACGGATCCTGGAAAGGTGTCAGCCGTTAAATCCTGTAAACGTCCCGAAAATGTCCATCAGTTGAGAAGCTTCCTAGGGCTTTGCACCTACTATAGGAGATTCGTGAAGGACTTTTCTTCCATCGCAAGACCCCCTTCACAAGCTGACAGAGAGCAAGCAAAGATTCTTGTGAACAAAGGAATGCGAGGATGCATTTAACAACTTAAAGGAAGCTTTAACATCTGCTCCAATCCTGACGTATCCTCGGTTCGACAGAGCATTTATTCTCGACACGGACGCGAGCAGTGAAAATGTCGGTGCTGTTTTGTCCCAAGAAATAGACGGCCAAGAATGTGTAGTAGCTTACTGGAGCAAGTGCCTGTCTAAACCGGAGAGGAATTACTGTGTTACTAGGAAAGAGTTGCTCACCATAGTCAAAGCTGTAGAACATTTCCATCATTATCTATACGGGAGAAAATTCCTCCTCCGCACGGACCATGCCTCTTTGGCCTGGCTTTTAAATTTCAAGAATCCTGAGGGTCAAATAGCCAGGTGGATACAGAGACTCCAAGAATTATGACATCACTATCCGTCAATCGTAAAGGGATCATTCACTCGGAAACGCCGACGCCCTGTCTAGACGACGACCTTGCCCAGGAAAGCTGCCGATATTGTTCCAGGGTCGAAGAAGCGAAATACGAACTGCTGACTCCCGTCGCAAGACAAATTACAACATCAACATCGGCTGATCGAGAACCGTGGAGTGATGATGAAGTCAGGAAAGACCAGCTGGAAGACCGCGACATTAAACCCATAATGCAGTCATCAAACAGAAAACCTACCTGGCAGGACATTTCTATCTGTAGTCCTACAACAAAACAATATTGGGCACTCTGGGATTCACTTCACATTTGAAATGGCATCTTATACCGGAAATTTGAATCGGATGATGGGAAGACATTCCGATGGCAGCTAATACTTCCAAAATCCCGGATTCCTGATGATCTTAAAGAACTACATAACAGCCCAACAGGAGGTCACTTTGGAATAATGAAGACCTTGCAGAGAGTTCGTGAGTGCTTTTACTGGAATAATGCGAAGGATGACGTGCAAAAGTGGTGCCGATCTTGCGATGCCTATGCAGGTCTGAAAGGACCGAAGAGACGCAGCGGAGGCAAACTGCAACGTTACAATGTAGGCGTGCCTTTTGAACGTATCGCCTTTGATATCTTGGGACCTCTGCCACGAACTGCTGATGGCAACAATTACATACTCGTTGTTGTTGATTGCTTCACCAGGTAGCCTGAAGCGTATCCTATTCCTGATCAAGATTCTGTTACAGTAGCTGAGGTGATGATACAGCACTGGATTTCCAGGTTCAGAGTGCCTCTTCATTTACATTCCGATCAGGGAAGGAATTTTACCTCGGTAGTAATCAAAGAACTATGCAAACTACTCGGCATTGACAAAACCCAAACGACGCCGTTAAATCCCCAGTCGGACGGCATGGTAGAGAGGTTCAATCGAAACCATCCTTAATAACCTCTCATTAGTGGTTTCCAGAACCACTAATGAGAGGTTGTTAAGAATGGTTTCCAGAAACCAGCAAGGACTGGGAACAAGAAATTATTGCTGTTTTTACTGGCTTACCGCAGTGCTGTCCACGAGACTACCGGCTATCCGACTCGATCACAGGATGCTCTTCGGTCCGTGACCTTCGTCTGCCTTGTGATCTATTGTTTGGCTGCCCTCCGAATGCTCCTTCATCGTCTGAGGAATATATTCAAGATCTTCAGGCCTGGTTTGAAGTGATGCACAACTTTGCACGAGAACGAGTCAACTTGGCGACGGAGAAGATGAAGACCCGATACGACACAAGAGCTACTGAACATCAATTCCATGAAGGAGACAAGGTGTGGTTGTGCAATCCGACTCGACAGAAAGGACTGTCTGAACTTACAGTAATCTTGGGATGGCTCGTACACAGTCCTAAACAGGCTGAATGATGTAATGGTTTGGATTCGCAAGTCTTCGAACTCTAAACCTAAAGTCGTTCATTATGACAGGTTAGCTCATTACTATGGCCATAGTACGTAATGTAAATAATTGTAAATAGTACAAGACCATGGTCCTTTTTGTTTTTAAATGTGTATTTGATTTGATTTGTATTTAGTATTTGATTTGCATTTAGTAATTGATTTGTATTTGATAGCATTTGATTTGTTTTATTTATTGTTCATATTGTTTATTATTGTAATGTAATGCTTATTAATGCATTTATGCCACAGTTGTAAGTTTAGCTTCCTGTCCAGGGATTGTACTGCCCGGGACGTGCAGTCCTTGGGAAGGGGGCAGTGTTACAAATTGGTATTTAAAAATCTAATGTTAGTTCAATTATAAATTAAATGGTTTTATTTCCCGCGCTGTGCAGCGAGTGACGAATATTAAAAGAAAGCTAAGCCGGAAAATTGAAAATACAAGAGCGTGTGCATTAAACATTTAATAAATATCTCTTTTTGATTTCGAGAAATTACTAAAAAATTCTCGTACGTGATTTTAAAATCTTATAAAAAGAGGAAAACCTCTCAGTTTGTGGTAGTTGCTTAGTTTGTTGTTGTTTAGAAAACTGCTCTTGTTGATTGTAGCGAATTCGCGGATTAGCTTTCTTTAGCTGTTTTGAATTAAGTTCTATTGGACAGTTAAGTAGTTAAAAGATAACTACTATGAGATATTGTAGTACTGCATGATAATTTGAGAAAATTTAAGTATTTTTGTTGTGATAATAATAAATTTTTGTTCATTTTTCATCGGACTTGTGCATTCATTTCATAACGAACCCGTATGCATGCAACAATACTTATACCACTAATTATGTTTATCTAACAGTAATTTGATTTGCCATTTTTATTGATTTGTATTGTATAATTTTATGTAATTGATGCATATTTTGATGTGCAAGTAATAAAATGCTAAGAAAGAGTAAAACTGTTGTGCCAGAGTTTCTGTCTCAGAAATTTATGTTGAGTTGGTTTAAAAAGCGTTTCCGAAAAATTTTTGCAAAGTCGTTTTCAGTTAGAAAACAGATAGTATGGAAGATTTTGAAAAATAAAGAAGACTCTTTGTTTTTATCTTTTATTTCTGAAATTAGTAATTTTTGTTGACATTTTGTAGCTTGTTTGTTGATACATTATTTTAGAAATAAACGAATGTAATTAGAATGTGAGTGATATTAGTAAAAAGGTGATTGCAGTTTTTTTAACTATTTTAGTGAAATTTCTATTCTGTAAATGAAATGCATCTAAATTATTGAGTTTAACTTTATGTGGGTTTCTTGTACTTTTTATGTTTGCTATTTCCCTGTTAAAATTTGAGATTGTTAAAATGGTTTCAGCAATTTTAGCATATGTTTCATAAATTATTAAAATAATTTATTTCTTCGTTTACTTATTTGAGTAAATAATTATTGCATCTTTATTTCTTATAATCTTCTGTCACAAATGTAATCTATATTTCTTTTCCTTTAGCAGGTGCTCATCTGAGTATAAAATGGCAGCTGATTCTCCTGATTCTGATCTTTTTCATATTATTAAAAATACCTCTTTAAATCCTAAAGTAAGAAATGCAGCCTGGGAGTGTATATTAGGTAAGAAAAATATATAGTTATGTCTAAAACTTTGTTTTAGATAGAAACTTTAAACTTACATTAACATACTTATATACTGAATATATTTGATAATTAAGCTGAAAATATTTTATTATGAAATAAATTATGGTACTTCATAATGGTAAAGTCCATTTCAACTGTTTTGTGTAATCACTTCTCTTCAGCCATGTTTAAAATCGCTGTGCTTTTGAAAGTTTTTCATGATTTAAAATTTATTAAAGTTGTCCCATTTCAGCCAAGAATTTTGAAAAAATGAAAGGTTTGGAATGTAAGATTTGTTGCTTATATTATTTTGCGTATATGTTTTCTGTATGTTGTTACAAATTTTGTATTTAATTTTCTATTTTTAGTAGAATTATAATTAAAATTGTTTTATTTCCCCGTGCAATGCAGCACGTGACGATTTTTAAGAAAAAGATAAATCAAAAAGGTAAAAATACAGGATCACGCACATTTAATAAATAGGTATCTCATTAATTGTACTCTTTTGCTTTCCAGAAACCTCGAGAAAATACCAGAATGTTCTCATGCATGATTAAAAAGCTTATAAAAGCCAGAGCAAAACATCTCAATTCAGTTGTTTACTTAGTTGTTGATTGATTGCAGTGAATTCGCGGTGAGATCGAATTAGCTTTTTCTGTGTTTTGGATTGCATTCTATTTAACATTTTAATAATTTAAAATATAACTACCGTGTGATAATATGATATTGTATGAATATATCTGAGGAAAAATTTCAGCATTTTGTTTTTATTTCTTGTAATAAGAATAAATTTTATTAACTTTTTATCAGACTTGGGCATTAAATCTATTACGAACCCATATGCATGCAACACTATATATATAATAGGCTTGTAAATTAGTTTTGCATTTCCTAGAACTAACATAAGACTTCTAAACTTCAGGTTTTATTATTATATTTTTTACATTCGTCAAATATATGTAACAGTACAGGTGTCTGCAGTCTACGGTTTGCCACCTGCTTAATATGCCCTAGACTTGATATTTTTTACATTAAAAAACTTTAAATATATCGAATTACATGTTTTAAAACAACTGCAAATAGACAAGTTGAAATAATGTTAATATTGAGGGCATGTGGCAGTACTGGCTTCACATACTTGCATTTTATTATCTGCCATTGCTGTGAAACAAGCACTGGTAATTCATTTAGTTTTCTTTAGCACATGGATTGTAGATCACATCTGTTGGCATGTACTGACTATCAGTTGGCACCTACTGGCACTCTTAAATATTTTGTTCCCTTCATTTTGTTTTATTTATTACCCACCACTGCAGTGTCACTCTCAATATCAGGTAAAATGTCATGCTTTTAAAGCAGATTGAAGCATAAATTATTTTATCATAGAATTAAATGACAAAGTACTATGTTTATTATATAATGAAATAATAGCTGTGTAAAAAGAATATAATATACATCATCATTATCAAAGTATTTAATATGATATTTCACAGAAAATGAATAGTCATTGAAATTGGAAAATTTGAAACACAGTGCTTCATCAAAATGCACACTTCATCACATTCATAAAAATTAAAAATTATAAGGAAGTACACCTAACTTTTTTTTTACACAGTAGATATGTTCTGTAGAAAACCATACAAAAAAATTGTGTAAAAACATACATGCAACATATTTTGAGGGATATGTTCTGCAAATTTAAAAAATCATGTAAGATGAAAAAACTCTAAATATTTTCCAAAAAAAAAAACATGTAAAAAAAGTAATAATGAAATCCATATTACATATTTATGAAACAAAAACAATTCATTTTTTTACAAAAGAAATTTAAACTAGTGTACAGTGAAAATTCAATCCATAAGTACATACAAAAATTTTAATTGAAGTTAGGAATAAAATTCAATTTCATAACTATTCATCGCTACTGGATAACAAGCAGGCACATTTATTATGAACTGGATTAAAAATGCTATCATCAGTAGATATGTCTAGCACAACTGGTTGGGTTTGATTCGAATGAAGAATTTTGTTCGTTATTAATGGCCTCTGATGGTTTTTTTGTTGTTACAAAGTCTGTTGTTAGCAACTTTTTTTGAGGGGGGTCTCAACTTTCTTACATAATTCTTAATCAGACTGATATTGTATTAAAATCAAGCGGACATAACGAAAATATTTGAATCTAGCCAAAGAAAAAAAATATCCCCTTTTGAAAAAAGGAGCTTACAAATTAAAACCCTGCTTTGGTTCCACATATTTATGTGAATCGTTGTTTTCAACAATGAACACAATTAAATCAACAATCAGATCTCGACTTAATGATAGCAATCTTGAATATACTATAAGATTGGGATTATCATTTTATACGCCTGACTTTAAAAAATTAGTGGATAATATGCAATGCAAAAATCACATTAAATGTAACTATTTTTAAATTTTTGTTACCTTTTTAGTGTAGGATATTGTTTATGATGTTTATCATTGCCATAAAATAAAGAAATGTTAAGAATCATTATACTTTTCTTCTAACTGCACCTGCCAACAATTTAATGTTTGCCAGATATGCCCAGATGGGGAATAAGGTTAAGAACCCCTGGATTAAATGTACCCTTATGCAAATAATATATAAAATAATCACCAAGTGCTTATTTTTTAAAGTTATATTCTATATTCTGAGAAATTCTTTTCATGCAGTATTGGTTCTTTTTATATTATAATTTTAAATCTAACATATTCTGAGATGTATTCATTTTTTCTAGCTATGACTGCTACAGAAGATGGGCTGAATTACATTATTCAATCAGAAACTTATATTCCATTTATGCTGTCCTTTATTCAACAAAAAAAAATTCTGAAGGAGTTACATGGTGTGTATCGTTGTCTTGTGAATATTTCTGGGACCAGAACTGGCTGTTCTACTTTATTGACATTAAAAAAAGATTTTGTTGATTATCTTTTTTATTCTATTACTGATGTTGATGATCCTGTAGTTGAACTCAAATGTTACATTTTAAATAATCTTACAACTCACCTTGATATATATAAAGATGTTTCTGAAACTGTACCATCAGAAGAACTTTTGAATACATTGATGAAGTATCTGTGTGCAAGAGACTCTAATATTAAAAAAAAATATGAATATTTAAATTTTATATTTAGCAATATTACAAGGATACCTGCTGGACGACGGTTTGTATCTTATTTCTCTTATTAGTTTTATCTAATACCAAAAACTAACATCTTTGGTTCTTTTATAGTTTGGTTGTATTTCTTATCAAATATTTATCTGTTTCTGTTCTACGTTTTAGAAACTGCATATATTTATGATAGTTACAGAGCCTGTTTATACATTTTGTAGATAATTTTACTTTGCTATAGTTAAAAAAATTGTCTGCTTGGGAATTTTTTTTTTTTTTTTAACTGCAACTGTATTTTTGAAAATATAAAGTATCCTCTGTTACTTGGCAGTTTTGTTTTCATGCTAAATGGCACTTTTAGGAAGCAGTGGATGGAAGGCTATGTTTACGCTCTTGCGAAGAAAATTTTTCATATCTAGTTATTAAAAAAAGTGAGCTGGGGTTAAGGCATTTGTCTTGCTTGAAAATGCAGCAAGGAAGATGTGCTAATCATTAATGAAGACAAAACTAAGTTTATGATTACATCTAATAAAACTGTTGATTTATCCCCCTTGAAGATAAACTATATAAGTTTATCATTACATCTAATAAAACTGTTGATTTATCCCCCTTGAAGATAAACTATACCTTTGAAACTATAAAATAATTTAAATATCTGGGCATATTGATCACAAGTTGCAACGATATAAAAATTGAAATAATAGAATATTTATGGCTAATAGATGCTACTACAGCCTTAAAAAACAACTTAAATTAAAGCTAATCAACATAAAAGCTAAATTAAATTTATATAAAACTTTAATAAGGCCTGTTGATCTTTACGGAACTGAATGTTGTATACGTTAACAATGATGATGCATTTCCAATCGAAAAGATAACCTATTGTGTTGAATGGGGTCAGGTGGAGGAAACTTGGTGACACAGCCTTGGCCTGCAAAAGGCTCTAGTGCTTATGAAGAAGTTAGTTATTAAAAAATGCTCTGAAAACCATGTTTTTTTTATATCTAAAGATATGATAGGTAATAATAACAACAAGAAAGGAAACAAATGTCAGAGTTTAGCTTCAGGTAGAAAACTTATTCCAAATGCATATCCAGAATATTTCAAATTGCAAAAATAAGACCTTAAATGTTAAACAAAAATCTGCTAAGTCAAAGGACAGTTACAAACTCATTAAAATGCAGGGTGTCAATTGTAAACAAAGTGATTAATGAACAAGTGAAACAAAGTGAATTTATGATTTGAATCTTAAAAAGGCGAACAAAAACCTAATATACATCGTCTTTCTCCACGACATATCAGCGAATGCAGAATTCTTTATGAAAAACATTTGTTTAGACAAAAATTGAAAATGTTTTGAGTAAATAAATCTTAGTTGTACTTAAATCAGTGCAATAAAAAGAGATCTATTTACTTATCATCAAAAAGGAGAAAAAAGTCTTAAAACATGGTTCAAAGAATCTAAAGAAAGTTTTTCAAAGGAATTTATGATTGTTGCTGATTTTTCATATAATGGCTAATTAAGAATAAAGGGACTTGAGGAATATATTAAGAGCAGCTCTGCATATTATCGGGAACATGTTTTATACCCAATTTTTAAATAGAAAATACTTTTGTTTACCCACAGAGCCATCAGTCAAGTAGAATTGCACCAAGACTAAGCAAGCATCCACCCATTCAAATCCACTGTTAATTTCCTGGGAAAAAAAAAAAAAAAAATAGAACAAGAAATGGGGATCAAGGACATACCCTTCACTCACATTTCTTCTAACCCATGGAATTTTGTGCTTTTGGACTTTTAAAAAGCAAATTGTCCAAAGGTCGACCTATAACCTTCCTTGGACTTTGAAAAACTCTTCCGTTTCTACAAAAGGCTTTATTATTATCATCTTCGAAATTACAATGTAGAAAAATAGTGAAGAATAAGGGTTATCAAATAGGACATTTAAAATACAAAAATTTTAGGTAAGCTATTTCTAATCTAAAAATGTGCGAACAGCCTCTGTGTTAGTTTTAAGATGTAGGGTTGGCTGAATAATAATTTTCTAGTCATAGAGTATCTGAGGTATTTTCTAGTTAGTCTTAGATATGCCTTGAAACTGTAACAAAAAAAAAATTTTAGTTGCTTGTGAAGATTAAATTTTTTATGAAAAATGAATTTTCATGTTTTTTAAAGAATTTTGTTATTTATTATATAATGTTCCTTTTAAAACAAAGAAAAAAGCAAATGAGAAAGTTAAATAATGGAGCAAAAATATTGTACTTTCATTTAGTAAATGAGAAAGTTTATAACTGAAATAATTATTTTAATTATAAACTTTCTTATAAATTAAAAGTGATAATATTTCTTTCTACTGTATTGAAATAGTTTACATGGACAACCACAACAATTACTCATATTTACAAAATACGTACTTTTGTTACTGCTACATGATAAATACAAACATGTGTGGTAGCAATTGTGTAATATTTTATTTGTAATTAATCAAATAACTGTTGTATTAGGGGGTCACAAGCAATGATAGTTAAGTTTTATTCTTCTTTTTAATTGAAACTTTAGGATGAATTATAAATACTTTAGTCACTTTTATATGTTTATGTTAATAATTAGTTTTAAAATAGGATGAAAAATCATCTGGTAGCCTGGTAAGGTTACTTAACATTTAAGTATATAGGATAATAATAATAATGTAATATATATACTTGTAAGTAACATTTTTAGTTACCCCCCCCCAGCATCCCAATATATATATATATTTTTTTCTTTTTTTTTTTTTTTTTTTTTTTCTTTTTCTTTTTAGCTTTGATTTTCCACTTCTGTTTATTGGTGAAGTTGTTTTTTTTTTTTTTGTGAGTTCCATTAATTTTATGACTTGTTATTTGACTTGTTAAAAACAAAGCATGGAAAATATTCAGTACTTTGAATATTGCAATATGGATGTTTGAAGTAAATAGGCCCCAGCAGTTTGTTCATTTTAAAAGTGTAAAACCTAACAAAGCTGCATGATCCATACAACTTACTTAGTGGCAACAGTAGAAAAATGTTCGTACTTGTTTGCTGGAAACAGTAGTCTCTATACTTTGAATTGTGAAGTGAATTTATGAAAAGAAATGCTGATATTGATGTTTGTATTATTTTGATAATAATTTGTATATATAACATATTGATGCAAATTATATTTGTTTTAAACATTGTGAACATATATTTCCATGTGAAATTCATGTAGAAATGTATGAAATCAGGAATAACCCACATTTTTTTAAAGAAAAATATTTCAATGAAGAATTATGTTTGTATTTAATCCCTTCTCTAATCAACTTTTACAAACCAGTAACTAAAAAGTTTAAAAACTAATTTATCTCTAAATATATACAGCCAAGTTGCCTTCTAAAATTTGCAATCCAATTTTTTTAAGCGAAAAATTATAGCATATTTTGAAATATTAATTTGTTTTATATTTATAATGCCTTAAGAAAGCCACTTGCCTTAAGAAAATATACGAATAGTTTTTCCTATATAAAAGGTATTTATTTATATTGAAAAGAATAACTAAAATTTAACTACTATTTCTTGAGATAAATTAACATAATGGTCGGAACTTGTATGCATTCTGATTTGATTTCAAAAGTTTTTATATATATGTTTCTTAGCAATGTTAAACTTGAATAGTGTGGCTCCTTACTATGCATTTATTTCATTTTATGTGTAGTGTATTGTATGTAGTACATTATTTTATGTCATTTTTTATAATTTTAGATTATTTATGAAAAATGATAATTATATTCACAATTTGGTTGAAAACTTGAAATCATATGACAACTTCAACAGATGCTTAGGTGCTGCGTTAACTCTTCGGAATTGCTGTTTTGATACAGGTATTTCTTTTAATTGTGTAACAAGATCTTTACCCATTTTGTGTTTTTTTTTTTTTTTTTTATATAAATGGCTTTTAAAATGCCAGAATTTTTGTTTCACTTACCAGCTGTCCAACTAAAAAATCTTTGTGAAGATTATTTTCCATTAGTTATTTATGGTGTGGGTGGAATTGATGAAAATGTGCTTTTTAATAAAATCATATTATTAAAAATTTTAGTGTAGCATCATATGTAAAGTGAGTAAAAAAAAAAGTCTTGATTTTTTAACTCCTCTTTTTTTTTTTTTTTTTTTTTTTTTTTTTACAATTTTTATGTAAATACTGTAAGAAAGAAAAATGTGATTATTATTAGTGTAAATTTCACTATATTAAATAATTCTTTTTTTAGGAAATATTGCTTACTAGTTTTTAACCTGTGTTTTTCAATTAAAAAGTTTGTTAATTTTGAATTAATGATCATGTGCATCATTAAGTTTCTTGATGTACACTGGTTGCAAATTGCTGGAATAAAATCATGTAAATGAGCAATGTATTATAGTTCGAACACTAGAAACTAGAATGAATGACAATAGAAAATATAAAATTAGATTAAAAAAATTCATGACAAATGATATTGCTTAAAAAAAGTCAATATGTTGTTGATATGAACAAGAGAGTTCAAGTATTGCCTCACTTCAGTGTATCATGTAACTGTTTCTGTTACAAAGTAACTGACCATAGTTATGGATGTTAACATTATGACAAATGTAAGTTTTGCCCTGAAAAGTTTATGCATGTATATGGATGATGGGGAAGGTGGACTAGGTACATAGAAAATTATTGTAGCAAAATGAAATTTGTTGATAGTGCAAGAATTGTTTTAAAATTGCAACTGATTTTTTAACTCAAGTTTTAATCTTTGTATCCTTACTGAAAGTTCAATTAATACCTATAAAAAGTACTTTTAATTCATACAGATAATCATAAAAGGCTTTTAGATGACTTAAATATTCTTCCTGTGCTTTTGTATCCTCTTATGGGATCCGAACAGTATGAGGAAAATGAAGTAGAACAGTTGCCCGTTGAATGTCAGTATTTAGATGACCATAAAAAAAGAATTCAGTTTCCAGAAGTGCGAAATGCCTTAGTGCAGGCTTTATCATTGGTAAGATTTTCATAAATGATTATTACGTTATTTTATGAAGATATTTTTAATCGATTTTAAATTGTAAATTGAAAAACTATTTTTTTATCATGTAATGTTGATTTGAACTGTGTTTGCAGTCAGTTTTTAAAGAAAAATTTTAATTCTGATTGCATATCAATAACATTGAATTGCATTCCTTTACAGTTTATGACATGCTTTTATGTTTTTATTTAAAATATTTTTGCTTTAATAATTTCATATGTGCTCTTTCCCTCCTTAGGTTTTAAATATTTACTGATGAAAATAAGTGAGAAATAAAGACCTTAAAATAAAAATTTAGAATACATTGAATAATTTACATTCAATGTATAAAAACCTAGATCTAAATTTAAATATTATGTAATGTATCAAATACCTGTAAAAATTTTTTTTTAATAATTTATAAATTCATGTTCAGGTATTTATTGCATTTACATTTAATGTGTAATAAATAGTTTTATATTTATTATCCTTTTCATCTTAAATAGGTTTAACACCAAAAGAATTCTCAAATTTGTATGGCTGTTTTACTTAAATACATATGTTTCATTATAACCATAAAAAAGAAGGGGGGAGAAATGGAACTATCAAATCATATTTAGTGAATTCTTTCTAATATTTGATTGTGTTCAAGTGAAAATCTAACTTGTGTAAGTTCTACTTAAAATACAGGGTTTTTTTTTTTTTTTTTTCTCTTAAATTTTGGGTCACTTTAAGGCGTTGTTCTGCTGTAAAATTTCATGTGCTACCTGATCAATATAGTGGTTAGCAATGTTGCCTGCTGTATTGAATAGCTTGAGTTCAATTCCAAGATAAAGGCATAAATGTTTGCGTATAAGACTTGACCAGCTAAAATCCTCTCAAGGGATTTGATGTTAGGGGTAGAATTGTGGAAGATTCTCAGATTGTTCCTCAGTGTGCTTTCCATTAAAATTGGGGCAAGTCTGCTTTATTAATGATATTGGACTATGTTTATATGAGCAGTTTTGAGATCCCCCCAATTGTACATCTGCCTTCTAAATTTTATATTAAATATTAACTTCTTCTGGCATATTGGGTTAATTTTTTCTTTTAGTTTAGTTTTAATATAAATAAACTTTTGGCTATCCAAACATGTTTTTATGTGCCTTTCCTCTCCCACCCATCAGCAGCCGAGCAATAAAGTCGCTTAACACTCGTAATTCGGCCTGAGGTTCAAATCCAACGAGCGTGGGCTGGCTGCATGGGAGTTTTCATGGTTTCCTCCATGTGTAATGTGTATATGAACCAGTTTCCCTCAGAAAATCCTCCATGAAGGCAACTCATCCCTTATGCAGATAGCCTTCATATGCTTTGCCATAATCAAAATAAACCAAACTAAACCATAGTCTCCCTCCCTAGCAGCATCACAGTCTGTCGATGCATAAGAAAAATATAAAATAACATTAATAAATGAGTAGCTTATGATCAAAAAGAGTACCAACTGCTGTTATATATCAGTATTTTGTTTGCCCTGATTGTAATCTGTGGTACATGAGGAATATATGAATGTTAAAAATTGGTAAGAAATAAAATTTTAGAAAGTTAAACAAGCATTTAAAAATATAATGAATGATAAAATCTTAATATCCTTATTTTAAACTATTATAATTAATTCAGGAGCTCTTTTTCATTATGTAAGAAAAGAAACTATAAGAGGATAAAATGCATGAAAGTTAAGTTAGGATAGCAGTAAGGCATTCAGCACCTGTGGAGAACTTTTTCTTATGGAAAATGGTTTGTATTCATATTACATGTGGGGGAAAAAAACCACATATAGCTTCATCATTCAATCACTAAGAGCCAAATCTGAAACTAAATATGTATCTTTGGTCTTTTTATCTAATTGATATGATGAATTTTGAAAATATATTGGAGACGGGAAAAAAAAAGTATCTGATGCATAAGTAAAGTCATTTTTATCAACTTTCCATGATCTGTTATGCATATGCAACATTATTGGATACACAGCACTTACCTATTAATTGGGTATTGCCGAAAAGATTTGTATCTCTCACCGTTTCCTGATCCGACAAGATGACCTCATTACGAGCATCGCCTGCCCGACTAGAGTGCTCACTGCCAGGCACTTTATGTTGAGCCAAGTGTACCACCAAGACTGCTCAAGCCCCCCATATTGGGAAGCCAACCACAGCTCGGAGGCGAGTCCATTAGCCGCCCCTCCACCATTCCGAGGTGGAACCTCAGAGGGATGTTAAAAAAATGCATGAAGAAATTCCTGCAGCGGGAAGAATGTGATGCTAAGAAAAGAAGAGGCCATATTTTCCACCGTAAAGCAGAAAACAGCATAAGCAGTCTGGTAGCTGACGGCTTAAGTGTTCCCATCTGATGTGCTGAGGAGTAGTGAAAAACCTGGGTGTGAAGAAAAAGGAGATTGGTGATCTTGTGCATGAGCCCAGTCATCAGAGAAGGCTAAGAAATATAAAAATTAAAATGTTTTTATTTTGGAGAGTTCTAAAGCTAAGTAATGGCTGAAAAAAATCATCAAAGTACAGCGAAAACACTTTTGCATGGTCGAGGCACGAATGCACTGTCTATGTGAGCCATTCTTTGTGGTTGTATATATATATATAAAATTCAGTGCCAAGTAGTCTTCAAATATTTTTTCATAATAAATAGCTTAAGCCAACCTAACTTAAAAATATATCAAATTTTCAGCAATTCTGAATTGAAATCTAAGTCATTAACTTCTCGTATTCTGTTATCATGGTAAGGCCTGTTACGAAAGATTCAAGATTTGATTCTAGCAAAATTATCAAGCCATAAAAATTTTGATAGTGTTAAAAAGCTATGATATGAAGCATTGCAGTGATTTTTCTCTGAATATTTTCATTTTCAGCCCTTGGGGATATGTCACTAAATCTCAAACTTTATGTATGTCTAAGTTATATTAGTTAAGAAGTAAAGTTAAAATTGACTGTCTTTCTTGGATTTAGATTTCTTTTAGAATGCAACTTGCAAATTCAGCTCTTAAACTCGCATCTTTCCATAGCCATATTTTTAGTAAAATGACTTATTGATAAAAAAAATAACAACACAACACATAACATAACACCCATGATGAAATTCCATATACCTTGAAAATGTAGGGCACTAAACCAAATTACCTGTAATGCATTGAAAGCATATTATAACAATACACAACAAATAATAATTTGTAACATAATGAAGATTTATGCAACACAGAATCTGGCTGTCTGCCCTTGGCCCCAACTATTTACAATACGTAAATTTTGATGTAAATTAATTTAGAATTTAAAATTATATTATTATCTATATATAGCAGTATTCATAAAAATAAAGCTTTTCTTGATAAATTTGATAACATTTGTTAAACATTTCCCGAAATAATATAAATATTATTTGGGGAATAAGCAAGGCAGATTTTATATTTTGTTATCTGAATTTTTCTTATAATATGTTTCGTTATTTCTCAAATAAATAGTATGAAAAATATTTTCTTGTCACTATGTATTTTTACTATATGTATTTAGGAACTGATGCAATTTTTTCCTTTCAGTTGTGCAACTCAGAATATGGTTGGAACTATTTGAAATCACATGGTGTTTACTTTGTTGCTCGTGAACTACATTTGTGGGAAGAGACTGACATTGTTTCTGAGCATATTGAAACCCTGGTCGGATATATGCTTGTTGATGAATTCTCAAGTCCAGAGCATGATAATGATAAAATAATAGAGCCTCATGCTTTACGTTCTGTAGAATTTACGCTATGTTGAATTCATGTTTACTTTATGTTGAACTCATGTTTACTTTATGTTGAACTCATGTTTAAATTTTTCTTTTAAGAATACTTGTAAAAAAATTTTTACTAAACATATGGGGAATTCTGCTAATAAAAGATCAGTGAAAATTATGTGGTTTAAGATGTTTTTTTAATCCTATGAAAATGTTGAACAAGTTATCTTTTAAACTAATATATATACAAAATATTCAAGAAGATGGTACTGGTTTTGTATATTTATTAGTGCAATTATAGTTTATTAATGAATTATTTTTGAATCGAATATCTCGTAATTGAAGACCCGTACACAGGATTTAATCCATCAGACCTGCATAACGTGGATCAGATTGTCCGAGAGGCAGTAGTTCAACATATCTTAATAATAAAGCTACTGTAGGTAATCTTCAAAGTATCACTGAGCTCCATGATTGAAAAAAATACTTTCCTGTGTATGCTTGCCTTAGCTGTACTTCTTTAGCCACCGTATGAGTAACATGATCCAGATCTCAAATCCTGATGATTTCTTGCATGGATTTCTGTGGTTTTCTCTGTATATGATATGAATGCAAGCCAAACAGCATTGTAATATAGAAAACCTTCACATATTTTTAATAATAATAAATTAACCAAGAAGCCTGTACTGCTAAAGCAACATAAGAGATTATTTTGAAGTAAGAGCTTAAAGAAATTCGAGTTACTTCCTTAAAAGCTCTGCAAATGAACTAAAACAACTATGATTCAGTTTAGGAAACAGCGAGATGGTTGATTACTGTGTGAACTTTTAACCATTTTAAAAAAAGAATTGGTTTGATGAAACTGTTAAATAAATATTTTTATCCACAAGAAGAGTTTTTGAGATTACTACCTAAAATTTTATAATTTTTTTCTTTTCAGACTTGAAATATATTTTTTTCTTTTTGGACTTTAAGATCTCCTTGTTGAATTTGAAGTTATTTATTTACATATTTCAGAAAAATAACTATACAGCGAATTGTTTTTCTGTGTTTTGTGTTATTACTTCATTTTTCAGTACTTAAATACATTATTAATTCTTAATTTTATTTATATTACAATATCAATAAACTACATATTTCTACCTTAATATACCATATTTCTACCTTAATATTTTGCTTTACAAATAGCAATATCTTGAGTATCAGACCATTGTACTAATATACTATAATTTATATTCTCAAATGTTGCTGTCAAACCGGGGATCAAATTCCTTTAGCATCATATCCAACACTGAGAAATTTTTGCTTTCAGAAATTTTGTGTAATTAAATCCCATGACCTTCTTTTCCTTGATTTGTTGACCTCTGTGAAACATTGCATCAAATGCCATTTTTTTATATCGTTCTAGATCTTTTATATCTTATAGATTTTATATCATTTTTTTATATCATTCTAGATCTGCCATTCAAATAAGTTCAGACGAAATATATTTCCAAAAAAGTTTGCTTTCTCTGTTTTTCATTACCTGAAATATCTGTCACTAGTATAGCATTTGCCACCGTGAGCATTAATTATCTCATCACATGACAGATTGGCCAATCGCAGATTTAAAAAAAAAAATATGCACTAGGTATAGCTCATAAGAACAAAATTTCGAGGAAGAATCATTCCTTTGATTTGAGTAGAAGTCTATAATGTTTTGGATGCGTAACTAAAATAATCAGCTTTATTTAATTCTTCTAAGAATGCAACTGCCTCTAATCCAGTTTTGATTTTCTCATGAATCTGGAAAACGTATTTGACAAGGTCTGTAATTTTATTTCAAGGATCCTTTTATTGATTGAGTTCTGAATTTTTAGAAGTTCCTTGATATTGTCTCTACTTTCTTTCCTTGCAGAGCATTGCTATAACTTGGAATTTTCATACTGCTTTGAATTTGATGGAGGAAAATCCTATTTCCTAAGCCCCAAACCAGGTTTCTGATGAAATTTCTAAGGTAATTCAGGCACCCTCTACAGGGAGCCAGATGTTCCCTAATTTATGCAACTAATATTTTCAGTTTTGTTCATATTACATAGATAAGAGAAATGTTCTTTTGAAATTATGTGAATCTTTTGAAATTATGTGAAAAATCTGGCCTTGTTAAAACATCTACTGTGGGTATGTCCATACTTTTAGGATCTACAACATCGCCTAATTTTGAGGTGCCAGGCCTGACTTTGAAATTTTCGATCCTCATTTGTATGCCAGAGAGTCTTTCTAGTGAATAGAGTTTCTTTTCTTCTGCATTTCAGGGTAGTTCTGCGAAATAAATTGGTACAAGCTTCATTATTACATAGTCTTGAAAAACGTGTCATTTTGGTCACTACAGCTGACTACATTTTCAGCTCTTCTATAGGGTCTTTTTCAATTAAGTCATTAGGTAGTCCTTTAATGACTGTTTTGATGAAGAAATGCACAGAAAAACACAGCTATATCTTGTACATGTTTTGTTAATACTTCCTTGTACAAAGTAAAGGAAGTATTGTAATTGCAAAAATTTTCGGGTGTCATATTTCAATGAAAATATCCATTTTGACCGCTATCAAGTGAAATTTAATGATGTTTTTGTGTGGCATCTATATGTAAGGAGGACTCTTTTTCACAAAACATGTTGCAAAAGAAATTTAAAATGGATTCAGAAAAAATATTTTCGTCACATCTATGCGTACGTGTGTAGGTATGTATCTCGCATAACTCAAAACAAATAGCCTCAGAATGTTAAAATTTTTTATATAGGACTTCTATAAGCATGTAGTTGTGCACCTCTGTTTTTGTTGCAATCGGCCACACCAAAATTATATAAATATATATGTATATTCCCACTCTATTACTTGGTTCAGTGAGCTCAGTTTTTTTTTTATTCTTATATGTTGGTAAATTGTGCATTTTTTGCTTTAAAAATGATTGAATTATGTTGTTCTTATCTTCCGATTAAGGTTTTTATGTGTTTAGTTAATCTGGATGCAATAGTTGTAGAATTATCAGTAATTTAAAAGTTGTTTAGGTGCAGCTAAGCCTAATTTATTTTAGCATAGCAGCCATATTTGTTTACATTTAAAATGTAGCAGAATAGTGAATTAAGTCAGTTTCTGCAACTTCAGTGTCTTTTTGCCAGTTGGGACCATATATAAACTTTTAGTTTTGTGCACCGAAAAATTTGCCTTCCTGTTGGCTAGCCGAATTGCTTGTTTTTGAGTAGAAACTCTAATTGTAAAAATTGTTTTTTTAATTGTTTCAACTGCATTTGGGGTTTTATATTTTTCAATTTTTAACCAAGATATTTTGAGGTTTTATGTATTTTTGCCTTGTCACGAAGTGAGAACTGAATTGACTGAATGAGAAATATATCTCTAATGAAATTTGAATAATGAATGTTTAACTCTAATGAACCTCTAATGAAGTTTAAATGAAATGCAGGAAAAAAATGTGTATAATTTAATATTCCATCAGATTTTTTTTCTGGTAATCGTCCAATTTCTTGACATATATTTTTCATCTACCTTTTCATGATTAGCAATTAATTTCTCACTGTAGTATTAATAGTTACACTGTTAATATTACAGTGAGAAATTAATTGTTAAATTAATAGTACATTGTAGAGTACTATTAATTTCTCACTTTTTTTGTGTGCGTGTGCTTGTAAGTGGTTTGTTTGACTTCTGTTCTCAACAGGATAATTTGTGAAATTCTGTTTGGCTTCATAGGTGATAGGCCAACTGAAACGTCAGCTTGTTTGTCAACTTCATCATTCTCAGTAAGGGACTCTAATTTATTGCTTTTCTTTCTTTATCTAGTTGGCATGTCTTACCAGTTTTCTTTGGCTTCTGCAAAGATCCTTTGTCTTTAGCCTTTTTCTTAATAGTTCTCCTCTTTCTGGGAATCACCACTGACATCATGTGATCCATGGATCTATCTGTCCTTCTAGGGATGTCATTTATGCTCATTTTTTGTGTAAAGGTTTTCCTCCAATTTTAGAGATAATACAGGGTTTGTACGGTGCTTAAGAGTCCTTAAATTTTGTTGAATTGTTTTTGGGTCCTTAAAAGTCCTTAATTTCGGCCAAAATCGGCAGAAGGTCCTTAATTTTAATCATTCGAAATTTCAGTCTGTTTTTACAACTGCCATTTTGAGTGTGAATTAGCATTTTGGAAAAATATTTTTGGCAATTCACTGACATATATGGTTATTTTTTCAATGGGTGAATGGGTTACAATTTATTCCTATTTCTAATATAAGTGATGGGATACTCGAGTTTCTAAGTAAGAAGTAAAACATAAGCATTTCGAAATGATTTCATTTTTTTCTAATGAAGAGCTCCTAAAGAAATTTTTGCTTTTGAAGATGTGAACCCCTTTATTAAACGGTTCTGAATTTGGCGATTTTAAGATCACTTTCTATAGAAAATTTTTAATTGCGAGATCTGGGAATTTTTTTTAAACATTGTAACATTGGTAAATTTCATTAAAATAATTGTAATATATTGAAATTATATTTAAAAAATAATTAAAATAAAATATTTTTATTTTTCGCTGTCATATTATAAAGTTTCATTTTGGCAACTTATATGATATTTGAATCTGAAAAATAAACAAAATAATGCTATAAAGCACAATTTATAAAACAATTCTTAGCAAAAGCAAAATTAGCTATAATTAATTAAAATTATTATTCTATAATTAATTATAGCTATAATTAATTTTTCGTGGTAAGAGGTTTTCCCACGTAATTGTCTCAGAATATGTGTCAGTTTTCTCTATAAAATTAATTTTACACTTTCCCCACCTAAATTTTTTACCAAAATATTTCTGGCTTTTTGCTGTTATAGAATTTGTAGGAGTAATTTTTCTTTAGGATTTTAGACATTGCAGCTTGGAAAGTTTGGGAGGATTTGACGGCAAGGTTTATAGACCCACGATTCTAGAAGATTCCAGAAAAATGTTACAATATCAAATATGCCTCCATGTTATTAACATGTAATGCATGTATTTTACAGAAAGTTTGCAATGAATTTCTTACTTTTTGGAGAACGTCTGGAAGAGCAATAAAAGCATAATATTTAAAAGTTTTACTTCTGATACTAAAACCTTTTTCTTAACATGTTTATCTTCTCTTTATTTTCTCTACTTTTCACTAGAC